CAGCGGAAGGGGGCGGAGCTGGCCCGGCGAGTCGCCGGCGGCTGCGGCTGCGGCCGGACGCTCATTGATTCTTCCATTCATCTCTTCCAGAGAGTGTCTGCCCTGCTTGCTGGGGATCAAAAAATGAGTGCCAACAATAAAGGGAGAGAGGGAGAGGATGGGGCAGCTGGGATCGGCCTGGAGCATCGTGGTGACTAAGGGCACAGTTAGCGGGCAGGATGAGAAAACATGTTTTTATTTTCTTGGTTTGTTGTTTTACTCAGTGCCTTGCAAACCCTCACCTAATTCTCACAATCACACTCGGGCCAAGTCTGCTCATTCTCACGTTGCAGATAAGGAAGGAGACTAAGGTGAAGTGAAACACACCGGGTCAGCCTGCAAATCACTGATCAAAAGAGACCAACTCTTCTGTCCCTTTAACGCTGTTTCCTACTCTTTCCAAAGAGTTAAGACATTGACAGCATGTGAAAGTCCTGGAGAAAGGAAGAAGTGATGGATTCCTACGGGTGGAGGAAAGCCACCCCTCCCCATAAAAAATGACTTCCCCAAAAAAAGACTTCCGGTAGGTCCCCAGGGTCCCCCCCACTGGCAGTGAAGTCATCCTGTGGCACAGTCCAGCTTGCTGTGGCCTGGGCAGCCTGACCTGACGCCTCCAGTGACTCATCTGCTTAGCAACACTGGTGACTGCTCAGCCTTGCCTGGCCTCCTTCTGGCTTCAACTTGTCTGCCACAACACTGTTTTTTTTCCTCTTTGACCTAACCAGAGTTCATTCCCAGAAGCCTTCCTTCTGGCTTTACCCATTTGTGCTGGGCCTCCTCTGTGAACTCTGATCAGTAATAACAGCTAGCATGTTAGCATGTAGGAGTGCCTGACTGGATTGTTCAGTTCACATAAAGAAGCAAATTGTATTGTTTCTTGTACCTTTTCATTTACAGGCTCAAGTTCTATCAGGTGGCTCCACATCAACACAGCTAATGAGCATAGAGCTAAACTCAAACAGAAGTCAGATCAGATACATACCAACCAGTGCCTACCTACCCACAGCATACTCAACCGCCTGCTCCTATATTCCCTGTCTCAGATCTTGGCCACCCATCCATCCAATCACCTTAAATGAAAACCAGAAAGTCACCCTGGACTCCCTCCCTCACATCCAAACATTAACAAATCCTGTTGATTCTGTAACCTCATCATCTCTTCAGTCTGCCTCCTCTTTTCATCCTACTGACACCACCTCAAGCCAAATCTTACCTTTTCTTATCTACTTGGACTGAAAACTTGCCAACTGGTTCACCTAGTCTCATTTTCTTCAAACCTGTTATCCAGTTGGGTCCTGCTGGTTCACACTTGTAATCCTAGCTACTCAAGCAACTGATATCTGAGGATCCAGATTCACAGGCAGCCTAAGCAGAAAAGACCAAGAGACTCTTATCTCCACTTAACCAGAATAAAAGCCAAAAGTAGAGCTGTGGCTCAAAGAATAGAGTGCCAACGTTGAGTATAAAAGCCAAGCAAGGCTGGGAAGATGACTCAGTGGTAGAGTGTTTGCCTTGCATGCATGAGGGCCTGGGTTCCATTCCTCAATATCACATAAGCAGAAAAAGCAGGAAGTGGTGCTATGGCTCAACTGGTAGAGCACTAGGCTTGAGCTGAAGAGCTGAGGGACAGTGCTCAGACCCAGAGAGTTCAGGCCCTGTGACAAAAAAAAAAAAAAGCCAAGCAAAAAACTCAAGGTCCTGAATTTAAGCCCTAGTACTTGCATAATAACAAACACTTGTCCTCCAAAAAGCCCTCACAAAAATTCTCATCTACTACAGGCACTGATGTCTCACGCCTGTAATCCTAGCTACTCAGGAAGTAGAGATCTGAGGATCATGGTTCAAAGCCAGCCCAGGCAGGAAAGTCAGTGAGACTCTATCTCCAATTAATCACCAGAAACTCCAAAGTGGCACTGCTCAAAATGTGAGAGTGCTAGCCTTGAGGAAAAGAGCTCAAGGACAGGGGCTGGGAAAGTGGCTCAGTGGTAGAGTGCTTGCCTCACATGCACCACATAAGCAGAAAAAGCCAGAAGTGGCGCTGTGGCCCAAGTGGTAGAGCCCTATACTAGAGCTGAAGAGCTGAGGGACAGTGCCCAGGCCCAGAGTTCAGGCCACATAATGGACAAAAAAAAAAAAAAAAAAGAGCTCAGGGACAGCACCAAGGCTTGGGGTTCAAGCACTTGGACTGACCAAAAAAAAAAAATCTTCATATACCATATTACTCTCTTAAAACAGTTAAGCGAATCTCAAAATGAAGTATATAGCTAGTATTGATGGCAAGGCCATTCAAAATCTGGCTTTGGCCAGATACCAGTGGCTCACTCCTGAAATCCTAGTTTCTCAGGAGGCTGAGATCTGAGAATCAAGGTTCAAAGCCAGCCTGGGCAGGTAAGTCCATAAGACTCTTATCTCTAATTAACCACCAGAAAACTGGAAGTGGTGCTATGGCTCAAGTGGTAGAGAGTTAACCTTAAGATGAAGAGTTCAGGGCTGGGAGGGTGGCTCAGTGGTAGAGCACTTGCCTTGCATGCATGAGGCCCTGGGTTCGATTCCTCAGCACCACATAAGCAAAAAGCCGGAAGTGGCGCTGTGGCTCAAGTAGTAGAATGCTAGCCTTGAGCTGAGGGACAGTGCCCAGGCCCAGAGTTCAGGCCCCACGACTGGACCCAAAAAAAGATGAAGAGTTCAGGGACAGTGCCCAGGCTCAGAGTACAAGCCCCACAACCAACCCCATACACACACACAAAAAAAAATGCCTATGGGGCTGGAAGGTGGCTAAGTGGTACAGTGCTTGCCTTGAGCTGAAGAGCTGAGGGGCAGCACCCAGGCCCAGAGTTCAGGCCCCACGATAGACAAAAAACAAAAAGCAAAAAAACAAAAACAAAAAACCTATATAATCCTAGCCACTCAGGAGGCTGAGATCTGAGGGCTATGGTTCAAAGCCAGCCCAGGCAGGAAAGTCTGTGAGACTCTTATTTCCAATAAACTACTTGAAAAACAGAAGTGGCTCTGTGGCTTAAGCAGTAGAGGGCTCGCCTTGAGCTGAAGAGCTTAGGGACAGCACCCAAGCCCAGAGTTCAAGCCCCACGACCAACAAAATAAAGGTCTATGCCTTTCTTCCAATATTCCATGCTGTGACATCTATTTATAACAGCTGCATGATAAGATCTGTCACATTCTTGGCTACAAACAGCAGAAACATACATTGAATCTGAATGGTCATGCAACTATGAAGAAAAGGTTAGAATCCCTGCAGGGCACCGGTGGCTCACTCCTGAAATCTTAGTCCATGAGACTCTTTATCTCCAATTAAACACCAGAAAACCAGAAGTAGCAGTGTGGCTCAAGTAGTAGAGCACTGGCCTTGAGCTGAAATGCTCAGGGACAGCTCTCACGTCAGAGTTCAAGCCCCATGACTGACAAAAAGAGAGAGAGAGAAAGAGAGAAAGAAAGAAAGAAAGGAAGGAAGGAAGGAAGGAAGGAAGGAAGGAAGGAAAGAGAAAGAAAGAAAGAAAGAGTGAGTTAGAATTCCTTTTTAGGGGTGTATAGCTACAGCCTAGCACATTGTCTGGTAGTGGAGACATAGTGTCCTGAGATTGTCACTGATGTTTCCTAAACCTATTTCACCAATCTGTGTTCAGTTTTGCCATCCTTTATAATAATATATACAATATAATATTATATGGCTCGTAGGATTTGAATGGCCAGTTATTGGCAGAGAATCCACTGATTCAGCTTTGATAACTCAGGAACTGGAAACCATCTTCCACTGTTGGGACTGGGAAAGTCAGCATGGGACAGACAGACTCTAAGGTAGTGCTCATATTCTACATCTTCCCCAGGACTTACATCCTAGTGCAATCCTCTTCCTCTACATGTATATCGAACTTGTGATTTGTTTCTAATCAATGAAATATAGCAAAGAAAATTCATTATCAATTTCATGAGTATGTTACATATAAGACTCTCTCACATTCATAGTGACCTTGAAGATGCAATTCATGTTCTCTCCTGTCTATGGAAAGAAACAGATGGCAGGAAAGTACAAGCAACCTGTGGATGCTGAGGGCAGCCTGTGGGCCACCAGTCTCCAAAACAAACAGTCTGCTGGGTACAGGTGGCTAACTCCTGTGATCCTAGCTACTCAGGGATTTGAAGATCGCAGTTCAAAGCCAGCCCTGGCAGCAAAGTCCATGAGACTCCAATTAACCACCAGAAAACCTCCAATTAACCACCAGAAATCTCCAATTAACCAACAGAAAACCAGAAGTGACGCTGTGGCTCACGTGGTAGAGAGCTCACCTTGAGCTGAAGAACTCAGGGACAGCACCCAGGGCCAGAGTTCAAGCCCCACAATGGACCAAAAAAAAAAAAAAAACAGTCTCTGAAGGGCTCATTCCCATAACCAGGAAGAAATGGACTCTACCAACAATATGAATGAGCTTGGAAACAGGTCTTCCCCCACTTGAGTCTCCAGATGAGAACTCAACCAGCTGTCATATTGATGAATGTTAATGAGATGCTAAGTCAGAGAACCCAACTAAGCCAGACTTGGACTGGAAGATGAAGATTTGTTCTTTTAAGTTGCTACGTTTCTAGTAATTAAATCAGACATGAAGGATCTGTATTGTCACCAACTATATGACTTTGTTTAGTGGAAGTGAATGAAGTGGTTGACCTTAGATGATCTAAAAGACTGATTAGATTGGGCAACAAATATATTTTTAAAGAAATATATATATATATATATTTTTTTTTCCCCTGAGGCAGCAACAAGTTTCATAATGGTCCCAAATTAATGCTATATATATTTGGGGG